ATCCTTGTTGCTTTCTGTCTCATTGATCTGTCCAGTATTGTCAGTGGAGTGTTAACATCTCCTACTGTTATTGTGCGGGAGTCTAAGTCTCTTTGTAGGTCTTTAAGAACTGGCTTTATATATCTGATGGTAGTTTGTATTTCCAAGGAATCAGTGGTGAGCTCCCCTTTATTGTTTTTTATTGCATCTATAAAAAATATTTTTATTGCATCTATAAATATATTGCATCTATATATGTATATATCTGGGTGCTCTTGCATTGGGTGCATAAATAAGATAGTTAACTCTTCTTGTTGCATTTGTCCTTTTACCATTGTATAATGCCCTTCTTTGTCTCTTTTGATCTTTGTTGGTTTAAAGTCCATTTTATCAGAGACTAGGATTGCTAACCCTGCTTTTTTTTGCTCTCCATTTGCTTGGTAAATCTTCTTCCATCCCTTTATTTTGAGTCTATGTGAGTCTTTGCATGTAAGATGGGTCTCCTAAATATAGCACACCGATGGGTCTTGACTTTTTATCCAGTTTGCCAGTCTGTGTCTTTTGATTGGAGCATTTAGGCCATTTACATTCAATGTTAATATTGTTATGTTTGAATTTGAGCCTGCCATTTTGTTACTGGCTGGTTTTGCCCATTAATTGACATGGCACCTTGATTGCATTGTTATTCTTTACCATTTGGTATGTTTTTGCGGTGGTTGGTACTGGTTGTTCTTTTTCCTGTTGATTACTTCCTTCAGTAGTTCCTGTAAGACAAGTCTTGTAGTGACGAAATCTCTCAGCAATTGCTTGTCCATAAAAGATTTTATTTCTCCTTCACTTATGAAATTTAGTTTGGCTGGATATCAAATTCTGGGTTGAAAGTTCTTTTCTTTAAGGATATTGAATATTGGCCCCCAACTTCCTTCTGGCTTGCAGAGTTTCTGCCGAGAGATCTGCTGTGAGTCTGATGGTCTTTCCTTTGTGGGTGACTTGACCTTTCTCTCTGGCTGCCTTTAGGATTTTTTCCTTCATTTTAACCCTGGTGAATCTGATGATTATGTGCCTTGGGGTTGCTCTTCTTGAGGAATATCTTTATGGTGTTCTCTGTATTTCCTGGATTTGAATGTTGGTCTGCCTTGTTAGGTTGGGAAAGTTCTCTTGGATAATATCTTGAAGAGTATTTTCCAACTTGGATGCATTCTCCCTGTCACATTCAGGTATACCGATCAAGCGTAGATTAGGCTTTTTAATAATCCCATAGTTCTTGGAGGCTTTGTTCATTGCTTTTCACTTTTTTTTCTCTAATATTGCCTTCTTATTTTATTTCATTGATTTGATCTTCTATCTCTGATATCCTTTCTTCTGCTTTTTCTATTTGGCTGTTGAAACTTGTGTATGCTTCACGAAGTTCTTGTGCGGTGTTTTTCAGCTCCATCAAGTCATTTATGTTCTTCTTTAAGCTGATTATTCTAGTTAGCATTTCATCTAACCTCTTTTCAAGGTTCTTAATTTCTTTGCATTGGGTTAGAACATGGTCTTTTAACTCAGAGAAGTGTATTACCCACCTTCTGAAGCCTGCTTCTATCAATATGTTAGATTCATTCTCTTTTTTGTTCCCTTGATGGTGAGTTGTGATCCCTGGGAGGAGAAGAGGGGTTCTGTTATTTGATGGTTTCATCCTTTTTACACTGGTCTTTTTTCATCTTTGTGGATTTATCTCCCTTTAATCTTTGAAATTGGTGATTTCAGGAGGAGTCTCTGAGTGGACTTTTTTTCTGTTTGAAGTTGGAGCTGTATCCTTTTTGGCCTGTAGAAGGCGTTGCTGGGGTCTTGGGTTCAGTCAGGTTGTTGGGTGGGTGGTCCTTCCCATGGGTTTGTTTGCCGGTGAGATTGGCCCTGCCTTCCCAATGGCCTCTCTCCTTCCCCAGTTGGATCTTACTGGCTGGGGTCAAGCTGGTGATTTGCTGCCTAGCTCTCTAACAAGGGCTTCAATTTGAGCTCTGTGGAGGTGGGGCCTGCCAGCCTTATGATCTGTTTCCCTGCTTTCAATTCTGCCTCCCTCTGTGGGAAGGTCCGCCCTGCTGGTGTTAGTCCAGACTCCCGCCCAGGTCCCTGCGACAGCTTGCCCAACCTGGCGGTAGCCGCTGCTCCAATTTGCTTCGACTACCCATGGTGCCCCACCCTCTGGCAGGGCTCTCGTGGACCATGGGTTGGTTGCAGGAGGAATGAGGTAAGCACAGGATCTGAAACAGAGCACCAAGGGGTTAAGTGCCCGGATCCTCTGAGCCGGCTGCACGTTTCAGGTGGGGATGTGCCCCCCCACCGCCCCCGTCTTGATTTGACCCCCTGGGCGGGTCTCGCCCTGCGGCTCCTTCCCTCAGCCTAAAATTCAGTGCCCTGTCAGCCCCACAGAAACAAACCTGGCGTCTCGTTTGGAATCGTGAAGTCCTCTAGCCCTCTCAGTGTCATTCGTTGGGAGCTGCATTCTGGTGCTGGCTTCTCTTGGCCATCTTGGCGCCCCCTCCTGTTGGTTTGTTTTTATGTCATTTGCAGGAGTTCTCATTGTTGGTCAGAATGCAGAGCGGTACACCCACTCTGGATGGTCATGAGGCGGTTTCTCACAAAGCTGAACAGGTAGCATGCAGTCCAGTGCTGCACGCCTTGCTGTGGCCACATCACAGCCTGTACATAGAGGTTTCAGCAGCCCATTTGTAATTACCAAAACTTGGAAGCAGCCACGATGCCCTTCAGTGGATGATTAGGTGAATGAACTGGCCCATCTGGACAATGGAATGTTAAAAATAAGTCTATTAAGCTGTGAAAAGACATGGAAGAAACTTAATTGCGTGGTACTAAGTGAAAGAGGCCAATCTGAAAAAGCTGCCTACTCTCTGATTCCAACAATAGGAAGTCTGGAAAAGGGAGAACTATGGAAACAGCGGAAAGATCAGTGCTTGCCAGGGACTTGGGGGAGGGAGGGTGAGCAGGCAGGCAGGAGGACCTTAGGGCAGTGCATCTGCTGTATACGATGCCCTCATGGTGGGTCCAGGTCATTACACATTTGTCCAAACCCACAGAACATACACCACCAAGAGTGCCTCATGTCAACATGTCAGTGTGGGTTCATCGATTACAACAGATGTGTCTTCCAGGGGTTGGCAGGTGGAGGCATTGATCTGTAGAGAGGTGGAGGGTAGGTGGGAAATCTCTGTACCTTCCTCTCAATTTTGCTGTGACCTAAAACTGCTCTAAAAAAAACAAAGCCTCTTTTTCTAAGTTAATTATTTGAAAAGATGAATAAAACTGATAAACCTGTAGCAAAATTAATCAAGAAAAGGAGAAAGCACAAATTGCCAGCATATGGCATGAAAAAGGGGCATCTGTATATATAGACGATACAGACTAAAGAGATGAGAGAATATTTATGCCAATACATTTGAAACTTCAGGTAAAATGTGTGCCATAAAGAGTAATAGTGTAAAAAAATTTTTCAAGTAAAATGAACATATTCCTTGAAAAATACAACCTAATAAGACTGAAGTATGAAGAAATAGAAAGCTTGAATGGTTCAGTGTCTACTGAAGACATTGAATCTGAAGTAAAAACTCTTCCCACTAGGAAACCTCAAGATTAGAGGGCTTCCCTGTGAGCTTTTCCAGACACCTAAGGAGGAAACAGCATCTGTGCTACACTCATTCTTCTAGAGAGCAGAAGAAGAAAGAAGGCTTTCTAACTGTTTTTATAAGCCCAGCAAAATCCTGATATAAAAATCTAACAAAGACATCACAAGAAATAAAAATTTAGGCCATTTTGTTTTGTGAAAATAAATTAAAAGCTGCCAAACAAAATATTAGCAAATCACATCCAGCAATATATAAAAGTAATAGTACATGATGACCAAGTTGGGTTTATTTTTGGAATGCAGGGTCGATTTAATATTTGAAAACCATTCTTAAGAACAATAAATAAGAAAAAAGCATATAATGGATGCTAAAAAATATTTGATGAAATTCAGTCCTGTTCGTGGCAGTCACCTTAAGGCTTCTGTAGGAAATAGACATCTCACTAACATGTCTTGTTAGTCAGAATCCACTCAGCACTATGTACTTGTATAATGGTTGCTCTTTTCAAAAATGAGTGTTGTTTTGGATAATTTTATACAACAGAAGTGTCATACAGCACTATTTTAGGATAAAGTAGTGCTGTGCAGCAAAAATTGTTTTGATTAAACCTTAGATTAACTTTTGGTTAATCCCAGTTCATGATAAATTTCTTAAAATGGTTAGCAAGCTTCTTTTATTTTAATAAGTGAAGCCTTAACTTCTAAAGGGGCTAAAATATCTGTCACGTTTTCCCTAGTTTACTTAAAACAGCTCTTGGTTAATTTGAGCTCATAGATAAACTAGACAATGATGGATTCAATTGCACTTAACTCATTTATGGACTCATTTGGACACTTGCTAGATATCAGTATCACTTTGCATGAGGACAGCATAGGCCAGGAGGTAGAGAGTATCTCATGCAACATTCTTGCAGGAACCCCTCTATAGCATCTTAGGACAGCTTCCCCGTTTGTCCCTTTGCCTTTGAAGAAAGTCGTTCAGGAAAGAATGCACCCAGAATGAATGATCATGTGAACTTTTTCCTAGTAGACACAGTTTTCACCATTTCTGTTGTCAGCGCAGTGGTTTCTAGGAGGCAGGAGACACTATGCTCACTGCCTGGGTGTGTGGAGCAGGCTGAATAAGTGTCTCAGGTTTGAATGGATGGATGGATGAAGACACACTCATACTGAAGAGGCACCCTCATTTCTGTCAGCTGAGGTGGTTTCCAAGGCCTCTAATCAGTAGAGCTGGTGAAGCTCAGCTTTGCAGATACAGCCATGGTGATGCTGTCCAGTTACTGAGCGAGCATGCATTCTGAGCAGACTAACTTTGCAGCGCTGAGATTCACACAGGTATCTGTTTCTTGCATGTGTGGCTCCTGTCTTACATTTTTGGTGTGTGTTCTGGTCTCCACAGCCTGATTACATCAACTCCAGAGCCGTGCAGCTGGGCTCCCTTCTCGTCCGTGGCCTCACTACTCTGGTTCTAGTTAACAGCGCGTGTGGCTTCCCCTGGAAAATGAGTGACTTCATGCCTTGGAATGTATTTGACGGGAAGCTTTTTCATCAGAAGTACCTGCAATCTGAAAAGGGTTATGCTGTGGAGGTTCTTTTAGAACAAAATGTGAGTTTGCAGATGGCTACCTTTCACCAGAAACATCCCTGTAGTTCCAGGCTACACAAATAACATAAAGTTGACTATTGCGTTTTTCAAATTTAATGCTTGCCAAATAAAGGCTTCCATTATTCCGTTAAACCAGGAACACATGATTTGAAGCATTAGGCTTCAGCGTCAGCATAACTAATACAGGCTGAATACCCCTTATCTGAAATACTTAGGACCAGAAGTGTTTTGGATTTTGAATGTTTTTAGATTTTTGGAACGTTTGCATATACAGTTGACCCTTTAACAATGCAAGGGTTAAGGGCTCCAAACTCTCGTGCAGTGGAAAGCCTCCATATAATTTTTGACTCCCCCAAAATTTTACTACAAAGAGCCTACTGTTGACCAGAAGCCTTAACCAATAACATAAGCAGTCAATTAACACATCGTTTATGTTATCTATGTATTATATACTGTATTCTGAAAATAAAGTAAGCTGGAGAAAAGAAAATGATTAAGAAAGTCATAAGGAGAGAACTGTATTTCCTGTTCATTAAATGGAAGTGATCATCTCCACATTGAGTGGGCTGAGGAGGAGGAGGAAGAGGGTGGGGCTTGCTGCCTCAGGTGTGCCAGAGGCCAAAGAAAATGCCCATGTTAGTGGATCTATGCAGTTCAAACCCATGTTGTTCAATGAGATAGCTCGGGGATGAGACCCAAGTCTAAACACAGAATTCATGTATGTCTCATATACACCTTATGTATACAGCCTGAAGGTAATTTTATACTGTATTTTTAGTAGCGTGCATGGCACAGTGTTTTGACTGCATCTATCATGAGATCAGGTGTGGAATTTCCCACTTATGGCATCATGTTGGTGCTCACAAAGTTTTAGATTTTGGATTTTCAGATTAGGAGTGCTTAGCCTGTAGCTTCTGCCAAAATTCTTAAATAGGGTTCAGGACTTCCAAACTTAACGCTTAGGTGGGGCAAGCAGCATCACATCCAGTCTGATGCATTTTTAATTTTTGAAGTGCTTTTTACTCTTCTCCCCTTTACACACACACAATACACATACTATTTTTTTTTTTTTTTGAGACAGGGTCTTGCTGTGTTGTCCAGTCTGGAGTGCAATAGTGCAATCTCCAATGACTGCAAACTTCCACCTCCAGCACTTGAGTGATCCTCCCTCCTCAGCCTTCTGAGTAGCTGGGACCGCAGGTGCGCACCACCATGCCCAGCTAATTTTTGTATTTTCAACAGAGAGGAGATTTTTCCGTGTTGCCCAGGAAGTCCTGGGCTTAAGTGATCAGCCTCCCAAAGTACTGGGATTACAGGCATGAGCCACCGTGACCAGCCGATCTCCCTTTTTTAATGAAGAACTAACACTCCCTGCATAAGTGCCTCCACAGATATCAGACTCATCTGATAGGTGTAGTTACAGTTTATTACTTGAAAATACTCCCCAAAGGCTGCCAGTTTAGTTGGGTACGCTGGCTGCTGTCCAGCTTTATAAATACAGTTGCTACATGACTCCTGGAAGATTTCCAAATAAGGCATCAAGCCAAGCTCATTTGGAATGTGTTTTAATACCCACAGGGATGTGAAAAGCAGTATGATCCATGAGAGAGCATACTGGTCTGTCACAGTAGAGCACTCCAAGCTTTCATAGCAGAGAGAACACATTTGGTAATGTGTTGCCATCACTGTTTCTCACATACACACACACACACACACACACACACACACACACACACACAAATTCCAGAGTGGCATAGGACTATAAGTATTTAGAACTTAGAAGCATCTTGAATTTTGAAGAAAGCAAAAGCAGAATAAGAGGAGAAATACGCTCCTAATAAGCCAGTAAGTATTGGAAGGTAGACTATAGAAATGAAAGGTAAAGTAGCATTATTGGACCACAGTCTATAAATCATCCATCATGGATCTTTTCCTTTCTTTAATCAATTTCTTGACCAAGTTCCAAGTGATTATAGGGTCTAATTTAAAAAAAAAAAAAAACAAAAAAACAAAAAACAAAACAAAAAAAAAACTTATAGGATAGAATATTCAGTAATAAAACAGGAAGCTTGAAGGAAAGGTTGAATGTTCCATGTTCCATTTCTTGATCTGCTATTTTTTTGGTTTTTTGTTGTTGTTGTTGTTTGTGTTTTTTTGACCATGGCTTTTCTGCTGAATGTTCTTATAACTGGGAATTGAAAGATTAAGATATATTAAATGCAAACACTTTTTAAAGGTAAGATTGTATGATAATCACCTAAATGGTCATAGTAGGACTTAAAGATTCTTTTTTAGAAATGATTGTTTAACCTACAGAAGCTGCTTGGTGTTATTTTTCTGGAGGATGTGGGAGAATATGTTCTCTAAGAACCTCTTGTGATGTGATCATGCTGAAGGAGAACTGTACTGTGGTTCATGCCTGGGAGCAGGGTACAGCTACCATTGCTGCCTAGCCTTGGGAACAGCATGGGAGGGTGCCCCATAAGCTTCCTTCCAGCCACATCTGGCCCATTACCTCTCATTTGCATCTGGTCTGTTTGCAGAGATCTCGGCTCACCAAATTCCACAACCTGAAGGCAGTCGTCTGCAAGGCCTGTATGAAGGAGAACAGACGTATCACTGGCCGAGTCCACTGGGGCTCGCACCATGCAGGTGGGAAAGGGCCAGGTGCTTTGAGGCGCCCCACAAGCATAGACCCTAACTGATTCCCACATATTGTTGATAAATGAATTCTAAGAAGAGGCTGCTGATACAGTTGGATGAAAAGAATAGAATTTAAATGATAGGGCTGAGTGTGGTGGTTTATACCTATAATACCAGCACTTTGGGAGGCCAGGGCAGGTGGATCACTTGAGATCAGCAGTTCAAGACCAGCCTGGACCACATGGTGAAACCCTGTCTCTACTAAAAATACAAAAATGAGTCGGGCATGGTGGTGCATGCCTGTAATCCGAACTACTCAGTAGGCTGAGGAAGGAGGATTGCTTGAATCTGGGAGGTGGAGGTTTCAGTGAGCTGAGATTGTGCCCGTGCACCCCAGCTTGGGTGACAGAGCGAGACTCTGTCTCAAAAAAAAAAAAAAAAAAAAGAAAAGAAAAAGAAAATGATAGATCTCTACACAGTGGTTTAAATTTTGGTCCCAATAGGAAAATTTCTCAGAAAGGACTCACTTATTAGTTAAATAATTAAGAACTCTTTCTCTAGGTATGTAACCTCCTTTCTAGGATTCTCCAGAAGAGGGGCTGCTTAGGTAGTGTTTGTTTATTTGACAAGAGTTTAGGTTTATTTTTTCCTATAATAAAAGTATATTAGAAAAATTAAGTGTAAAGGAAATAATTAAAGAGGAAATATAAATGGCTTTTCATTCTGTCACATAAAGATAACAAGTGTGGACTTCTGCCGAGGTTTCTGTGTGTGGATCTCATTCTGAGTTTACTCCATGCAGTCTTGCGTTCTGCTTTCCTACTTAGCACTTAACTTAGGGCACTAACACCACAGGCTCTTCCACCGCAAGATAGCTTGTTCTCTGTTTGGAACCTTCTTTGTGGAGCACCATGGACTATCACGATACCTTTAAAAAAATCACATGAATTTCTATTAGGCCTTCTAGTGGAGACAAACAGGACAAGGTATCAGGGACTGGGAAGTTACGTAAATTTTAATGCACACAAAAGTGTGTGTGAATGAAGTTTGTGGAGAATGGGGAGAAGCTCGCAAGTCCCAGAAGTGCTTCTTGATCCCTTGCCCAGGGCGCCGGAGGAATGGGCTTGGTCACGGGCACCATGGCCTGTGTGGGTCCAGTGGGGTCCCAGCAAAAAGGAGTGGTTGGGCTCCTCAACTCTTTGTTTGCAGAGTTTGCCTTCTCACCACCAATGCCAGATTCTCCTGGGGTTAGAGTTTAATACACAGATCTGTGACTCCACTCCTGAGCCTGGTTCTCTGGGGATGCAATCCTTAAATTTGTATTTTTTCATGAGCCCTCCTCACTTAAGTATAGGAAAACTGCTAGCCTGGTGCCACCTTGCCACACTCTTACATGATGTGTTATTTGGGTTAACACGTTTGAGAACTTGCTAATTCTCTGACCATGTGTTCCCGCAGGGAGGTGGGGAAGACAGGGCTCCGGCTCCCACAGGACGGGCTCTGGGTATAGCCGTTCTGGTCAGGGACAGCCGTGGCGAGACCAGGGACCAGGTAAGAAGGCCGATGGTCACTCTACTGGGCCACCTGCATGGTGCTGCCTCTCACCTTGCGCTTTTGCTGATAACTGCCTTCCTCTGTTTCAAAAATAGGTTGTATATTTATTTATAGTAAATAAACATACCGCTATGTCTAATTTTTATCATTTAGTGAAATAAAGACAAATAATTTTCACGCTTGATGCTAGCCCTGTCTGCTCCTGGCCACTTTATTCATTTTCTATCAGTTCATTCTGCTCAAGATCCAGTTTTTGTAATTTACTTGCTCAAAGGTGCTTGTAAAATTTACATCTGGAAGGTCCATTGTTCTCATGAAAAAAAACGACAGGTTATACTGTTTCACCAATAGCTGTGTTCAGGTAGTAGCATTCTGGTATTTTCCATGGCTTGGATTATAGTATGAAGTAGGAAATAGCCCCAACCCTTTGTTTTTTTACACAGGTTGTACAGGTATCTGTTTTAATGTGTGTATTATGCTGAATTTAAATACATAGAGAACATCACATCAGTATTTGAGCTCAAATTCCTTATAGTTTGAGATCCAAATTTGAAATTACCTAGTATTTATAATTTAATCCCTTAAAATCTAGATAAACCTTTAATTTCTGGTATTTGTGACTTTGGCAATGTCTGAAATATGTAGAGACTTCCCAGGCTGCTCTCATTCCCTACAGCACAGCAGGTCTTCAGTGTGAATGCAGTTGACCTTCGGGGTCTGTCTCGGGTGGAGTTTGCATGGAGGCCGCAGGGCCACACGTCTGCTGAGTACCGTGTCCTGTCCTCTTGGGTCTATACAGTCAGCAGACGTTGCCAGTCCACTGTCTTGTTCAGTGTAGATCAGAATTTATGGTGAATATTTTTGAAATGCCTATCTGAGAGAGAGCTTCATAATTTAGATTTACATTTGCTCGAGATGTTTCCTTGAATGAGCTTAACCTGCAGAAACTCTACCCTAGCAAGTCGTGGACCCACTGTCATCTGGAGCTTCCTGATGGCCCCACTAGACATGTACATCAGTCCTCTCATGGTCTCTGCTACATTGTCAACACGAGGGTCGCTTCCATGCATCACTAACTAAACCATCCAGCAGAGATCAGGGCGAAAGACCTTCCATTTTTGCAAGGATATTTGAGATTGCTTTTCACTTACACAGTACTGCAGTTTATTGGAGTAAACCATGACGAGAGCTCTCAGATGGACACTTTAAAGTGTAACACTTCAGATTGAGAAAGAAAGGTAGCACCGTGTGACCGACAGATGTAGCATCAAGAGCATGCCCAGCCCTACCCTGATCCTAGAAGCAAGGTGGCATGGGACCTGTTTGGTACTGACTCTGGGAACGGTCAGAGCCACAGGCTTTTCTTTACTACTTTGACTTTCCTCCAGAGGCGGCCTGCTGTGATAGCCTCAGACAGGCTGACTTTGTCTCAAGCCCTGGTTTTGCCTCTTCCCAGTGGTCTGCCCAGAGCGGATCACTGGACCACTGGGCTGCTTCTGCCTCTGGTCCAGTGTGCCTGATGGGCTGCAGGTACGGCACCTCCACAGAGCCAGCATCTTTGCAGAGGTCATGGTGACCCCTTCCAAAACGAAGTATTTCCTTTCCTGGCATTAATTCTAACATTTCTCTTAACATTTATGTCAAACTGTTTTGTTAAATAGTCTTTTCTGTTAAAAATACAGCAATGACAATTCTACTTCAATATCGCTGTTCTTACAGCACCAAAGCCTGCGGGTGCGGCCTGGCAGGAGCGGAGCCATCTGCTTCTCTAAGCTACCCCAGAGCACAGCCCTCAGGTCATGTGCCAGGACAGATGCCATGCATATTGCGTCTTCCTGTCTTTAGTGTGATGACAGAGACCACATGAGCATCTTTAAAGTAGATCAGGAGAACCCCAGTTCCTTGGATTGACAGGAAACAGGTTTCTTCCAATTCTGTTAGCAGAGAATAGTATCCAGAAATTTCTCCGCATGCAAATTAAAACTGCAGAATGACTTTCCATAGGTAGAACTGAAGATAGTCATTGTCAGCCCTGGGCCCCTGCGAGACAGGGGGAATCTCACTCTTGGAGTGTGTGTGCGCCTCTGCAGCAGATCCCTCTGCCAGCCGGTAACAGGCATCCCCCCCAGTCACCCTTGGCCTTGCCAGAAGTCCAGATGCTGCCATGGTGTCCTCATCCTGCCTGGGTTGCAGCTCCTTGGGGCAGGCTGAGCTGAGCCCAAGGGATCTCTTAAGTGGCATGCAGCTTCTGGTTGTGTGGGTGAGGAGAGAGCCCTGAGATGGACACAGGTTTGGGGGTGACAGAACATGGGGGGCTGGCGAGAGACAGAGGCAGTGTCCCACTAGGACTGAGCCAGAGAGGGAGGCAGTCCAGAAGCTGGTCAAAGAAGAGAGGCTCCGAGGACAGAAGCTGACAGAAAGGGCCAGCGAGTAGGGAGGGAGGGAGCAGTGAAGGCCATCCCGTGCAGGAACAGGACAGGCACCACTGGAATCTCCAGGGGCGCTTGTTTCTTGTTCTTTCCTGCTTCTAATAGTGTAAGCTACTGACAGGAAGCAGGAAATCCATACAGGGTGAGCATCCTGTGTCTGAAATCCAGAATGCTCCAGAGTCCAGAACGTCTGCCCATCAACAGGATGCTCAAGGAAATGCTCCTTGAAGCATCTTTAAATTTCAGATATTCAGATTAGGGTTGCTGAACCCCAGTAAGTATAATGCAGATGTTCCAAAATCTGAAAAAATCTGAAACCTGAAGCACTTCTGTTTCCAAGCATTTCAGAAAAAGGTTACTGTAGTAAGCAAACTGGTTGCCTCTGCAGCCTGGGTGTATGTGTGGGTTTGGACACATCAGTGGCCACAGTCCTCTCTCTACCTGGAACATGCCAGCCTCCCTCAGGACTCCCTGTGCTCTGGGCTCTGTGGCCCCTGCACCCTGTGTATCCCATGCTTCAATCCCTCATTTTCATCTTGTCCACGTTCCCATTGCTGAGGGTGATGCACACGTCCCAGGATGGAGGCAGGCTTGGCCAGTGAAGGCCCCTGGTGTGTGTGCCCTCTTGTCTTGATTTAATATTTGCTTTCTGTAGATTCCTGAAGCCCTGAGCTGGTCCGTAAGGCTGTGGGGGTGGCAGAGACTTTCCCTAGACTCTGCATTTTGCCAGGCTTTCCATAGCATGCCCAGTAATTTGTTTTTAAATCCCATACGCACATCTGTAAGTACCACTTTAGCACAAGTTTCCTTTCTGAAATTTCTTTAGGATGTGATTGGCAAATATAACTAAAAAGCCAAGGAACCAAATGAATTTGCAACTCTTCCTGGCCCAGAAAGGAGCACGGAGGAGATGTGGGCAGTGGCACAGGGGAATTACAGGCACCACTGGCCCTGCTAAGTAAAGAACGTGTGACCGGGAGAGCAGCTCTGCACCTGTCTCTCCCACCTCGTTCCGAAGTCATTGTAAAGTGAAGTGAGCTGTCCCAGTCTCTGCAGAGCCCGCATCATCGGAGAAGCCACTCTCCAGGAAGGAGGAGACATTTGGGCTATGGGGTGGGAACTCCAGGTGGAAGGTTCCCTTCTCACTACCCACAGGACCGCTTTGAATTTCAGGACCTGTTTGGAACTCTAAAGAATGTTTGTCAGTCTGGGTGCAAGGCCTAGAGGAGCATGTTTTACCACTTCTGTTCTGGTCACTTAGAAACAATAAAACTGTAATGACCTCAGCAGCTGCAGCCTAACACTACTTACAGGCTGTGCCCTAGTTTCATAAATAGGTCTTTGAAGAAGATCCCTACTTTGTTGGAGTAGGATCACAGCAGTAACACGGAAGTTTAAGAATGGTAATGTATGTGGGTTTTGGGGCCGGAAAATAGCTCTAGGAGACGCTCAGGTTAAAGGCAAAATTGAGACGTGAAATGCTGAGTTAGCTTCAGGTTTAAGAGTTTAGGAATGGAGGGGAGAAATTAAACGGTTCTTGCAAGACACAAGCAAGGGTGGCATGTTCCATTTGCATTCTGCCTTACGGGCGGAGGCAGTTACAAAAATGGTGTTAGTGGTGCCTGTGTGTACTCTAATTTCAGAGATTCCAACATAAAGTATTTGGTAAACACATGCACACACTGCTCTCATCGGGACTAGAATGTATTTTTCAAACCAAGTAACCCACTTTTTGGTTTTAATTACTGTGACTGAATTTGAGGCAGCAAATTTCTTGGGTTTTGCCTACCTTGAACTCCCCTTTTGGCTATTTCTTGGAGATATTAAAGTAGTTCAAATAGAAAGTTGTCAGTATTTCCAGGACAATTAATAGGCAAGATTCCTTGTGTTGGTAAAAAAAAAAAAAAACTAAACTAAAAATGCCTCATAATCAAAGTATTCAGTCACTGCCAAAAAGTTGTCAAGTTCCTGGAGCCTGAGTGTGTGGACAGGTAGGAGGCTCCTGGGGAGCCTGAACTCTCTGGTCCACTTCAAAGGCCTCAGACAGAGCTCAGTGCAGGCAGCTGCCCCAGAACAAAGGCTGCGCAAGTGAGAAGGCTTTAACCTCTTCCTTGCTGTCACCCAGCCCAGCTGGCAAGAGATGATGTGTTAAATTCCACAGTCCATAGCTACAATTTGCCTGTGATTTTCCAGATTGTCACTTCTCCGTGGTGATTCTGTAGGAGGCCTGCTATAAAACTGCCTGTGATCATCTGTGATAACAAGGATGGGGGCAGAGGTAACAGGGATCTAGAAACCTCACTCTGGCTGTAACCCTCTCCTTTCACACCTCCTGCCAGAGCCCACACTTTTGGGGGCATGAGGGACTCAGGCTGCCCAGGGCAGGAGTGGGCCAGAGGAGAGGTGTGGAGACCATCCGCAGTCACTGCAAGTGAAAGCCTTGTGTCGTCATGCACCAGAAGAAATGTGAAAAACTGTCACCCTTTTTACTGCTAGTGAGGGGGTTCAGCCCGAGTCTTTTCTTCCCCACATTCCCTGTCTATCAGAAAGGCAGAAAGCAGCCACCCAGGCTGTGGCTGGGAAAGGGAAGCCCTGGGCCAGCCACAGAAAGAGCTGCACGTGAGCTTTTCTGTGCTTGGCAGAACATCCAGCGAGCCATCTGCATGTGAATTTCCATTTCCATAAGTCGTCAGCAATAGTCAATGCCTGGAAATCACGCAGATGGATGGAGCTGGTGTGAAGAGGAACAACTTTGACATTGTTTCCTCCACTAACCTCTTAATTAATTGCTTCCACTTTAATGGAATAATTATGGAACACAGTTTTAATGGCATGTGGCCACAACTGTAAAGAGGAGAGAGCTCTGTCCTCCAAATACAGCTCAGCGTCTTTGTTCATACTTAGAAATGTGCAGTGTTCTCATGTGTATATTGAGAGATTTAATTCTTTCTTTGGTTTTCATGTCTGTGCACTGCAGGAAGCAGACAGTATGAGCATGACCAGTGGAGAAGATACTAGTTGTCCTCCTGGTAAGTTCATCACTTGCATCTCCAGAAGAAATCAGTTTCGTGTCTGTCTTTATAATGTAAATCTTCCATATCAAGTACCAAAATAAACAGAACTCAGATACAGACTCCTGCTGACCTGGTGCTGAGTTAACTTGGTTTCAAGACACGTTTCCTTCCTCCAGGAAGAGTGTGGAGAGAAAAAGAGGTACACATGGACGCAGAGCCCTGCCAGCACCCTCTTCTGCATTGTAGCTGCAAGGAGACCATGCCTGTGGGAGCCAGGCCTTGCTTGTGTTAAGAAGGAAAGATGCCATTTTCAGTGGCTTCTCCCTCCCATTGTGCAGAAGAGCTTTTGTTGGCTTCTTTCCTGAGCTTGTGCCTGATTCTGTGGACCAAAACAATCATTGTTAACATCTTCATGTATTTTATTCTGATCTTTCATATATATGCTGCCTAGCTAATTTCATTTTACAATAAATGGGAATCTGTTGTATTCTGCTTTTTTTTTTTTTAACAATAGATTATGAGGAGTTGTCTTATGTTATTAAAAAGTCGGAAAATGCCATACAGTAGTCCTCCCTTATCTGTGGGGGGGTGAGTCCCAGGACCCTCAGTGGATGCCTGAGACTGTGGATAGTATGGAACCCTACGTACATATACATGTGTTTTTTTTTTCCTCTACCTATGTTCTATAGTAAAGTTAATAAGGAACTATACAAGATTAACAGCAATCAATAACTAATAAAAATTATGTGAATGTGGTCTCTCTCAAAATGTCGTACTGTAATCACCGTTCTTGCTGTCTGATAACCAAGACCTAAGTGACTAATGGGCAGAGAAGCTGGATGAGGGGCTGATTCTGGTCCCAGCATGCCAGCATGGGAGGTACACGGTCTCATCACGCTACTCATAATGGCAAACAAGTTAAAACTTAACAAGTTGTTTCTGTGATTTCTTATTTAATCTTTTTGGATTTCAGTTGACCACAAGTAACCTAAACCACAGAAAATGCAGCTGGGGATAAGGGGCACTGCTGTACAATATTTCAGAAATTGTTTTCTAATTAGCAATTCTAGTCAAATGTAAGTTTCCAACTATTTGTTCTCTTGGTCCTCAGAAGTGTTTGAACAGAAAAGTAAGAACTAACTTCCCACCTTCCTAGTGGAAGAGTTAATTCTACCTGGAGTGTTCTGCCTGGGAGACATGATAGCATGTGTGTGACTCCTATGTCTGTTGCTGTAGGGTCATCCTTTTCGTTTCATTTTGCCAGGCCCTGGCTCATGATTTTTGACAGCAGTGTCTGTGAAGACAGGCCTGGGTCTCCATGCAGTCACACAGGAAACCCACAGAGAACATGCTGAGAACACGTGGTGGCTGGACTGCCAGCAGGCCTGGTTTACGATGCTGCAAGTGAACAGCACGTTTGTTCATCTATCTGTGAGCATTGAAAGACTTTTATTTAAAATATATATAAATTTTTAAGTTCAGAGTAATCCTTTTCATGGAAGAATCTTAAGGTCATACAATAATTCAAAAATTTTTTAAGTTTTTAATTTTATTTTTTATTGCACTTTAGGTTCTGGGGTACATGTGCAGAACATGCAGGATTATTGCATAGGTACATACATGGCAACATGGTTTGCTGCCTCCATCCCCCCATCACCTATATCTGGCATTTCTACCCATGTTATCCTTCCCCAACCTCCCTACCCCCCACTGTCCCTCCCCTAATTCCCCCAACAGACCCCAGTGTGTGATGCTTCCCTCCCTGTGTCCATGTGTTCTCATGGTTCAACACCTGCCTGTGAGTGAGAACATGTGGTGTTTGATTTTCTATTCTTGTGTCAGTTTGCTGCGAATGATGGTTTCCAGATTTATCCATGTCCCTACAAAGAACACAAACTCATCGTTTTTTATGGCTGCATAGTATTCCATTGTGTGTATGTGCCACATTTCCTTGTCCAGTCTATCATCGATGGGCATTTGTGTTGGTTCCAGGTCTTTGCTATTGTAAACAGTGCCACAACATAAGTGTGCATGTGTCTTTATAATAGAACGATTCAAATCTTTTAGATATACACCCAGTAATGGGATTCCTGGGTCAAATGGAATTTCTATTTCTAGGTCCTTGAGGAATTGCCACACTGTCTTCCACAATGGTTGAACTAATTTATACTCCCACCAACAGTGTAAAAGTGTTTCTATTTCTCCACATCCTCTCCACCATCTGTTGTCTCCAGATTTTTTTAATGATCGCCATTCTAACTGGCATGAGATGGAATCTCAGTGTGGTTTTGATTTCCATTTCTCTAATGACCAGTGATGAGCATTTTTTCATATGTTTGTTGGCCTCATGAATGTCTTCTTTTGAAAAATGTCTGTTCATATTCTTCACCCACTTTTGAATGGGTTTGTTTTAGTTCTTTGCAGATTCTGGATATTAGCTCTTTGTCAGATGGGTAGATTGCAAAAATGTTTTCCCATTCTGTTGGTTGCTGGTTCACTCTAACGATTGTTTCTTTTGCTGTACAGAAGCTCTGGAGTTTAATTAGATCCCATTTATCTATTTTGGCTTTTGTTGCCAGTGCTTTTGGTGTTTTGGTCATGAAGTCCTTGTCTGTGCCTATGTCCGGAATGGTGTTGGGTCATGTTTAAGTCTTTAATCCATCTGGAGTTAATTTTAGTGTAAGGTGGTCAGGAAGGGCTCCAGTTTCTGCTTTCTGCACATGGCTAGCCAGCTTTCCCAACACCATTTATTAAACAGGGAATCCTTTCCCCATTGCTTGTTTTTGTTAGGTTTGCCAAAGATCAGATGGTTGTAGATGTGTGGTGGTGCCTCTGAGGCCTCTGTTCTGTTCCATTGGTCTATATCTCTGTTTTGGTACCAGTACAATGCTATTTTTATTACTGTAGCCTTGTAGTATAGTTTGAAGTTTGGTAGCGTGATGCCTCCAGCTTTGTTCTTTTTGCTTAGGATTGTCTTGGCTATGCAGGCTCTCTTTTGGTTCCATATGAAATTTAAGGTGGTTTTTTCCTTAAACCACTTCTGTGAAGAGGGTCATAGGTAGCTTGATGGGGTAGCATTGAATCTATAAATTACTTTGGGCAGTATGACTATTTTCATAATATTGGTTTTTTCTAACCACAAGCATGGAATGTTTTTCCATCTGTTTGTGTCCTCTCTTATTTCCTTGAGCAGTGGTTTGTAGTTCTCCTTGAAGAGGTCCTTCACATCCTTTGTTAATTGTATTCCTAGATATTTTATTCTCTCTGTAGCAATTGTGAATGGCAGTTCGTCCTTGATTTGGCTCTCTTTAAGTTTGTTATTGGTGTATAGGAATGCTTGTGATTTCTGCACATTGATTTTGTATCTTGAGATTTTGCTGAAGTTGCTTATCAGTTCCAGGAGATTTTGGACTTAGATAATGGGGTCTTATAAATATACAATCATGTCATATGCAAATAGAGACAATTCGACTTCCTCCTTTCCTAATTGAGTACCCTTTATTTCTTCTTCTTGCCTGATTGCCCTGGCTACAACTTCCAATACTATATTGAATAGGAGTGGTGAGAGAAGGCATCCTTGTCTAGTGCCAGATTTCAAAGGGAATGCTTCCAGTTTTTGCCCATTCAGTGTGATATTGGCTGTTGGTTTGTCATAAATAGCTTTCATTATTTTGAGATACTTTCCGTCGATACCTAGTTTATTGAAAGTTTTTAGCATAAAGGGCTGTTGAATTGTGTCAAAGGTCTTCTCTGCATATTGAGATGATAATGTGGTTTTTGTGTTTGGTTCTGTTTATGTGGTGAATTATGTTTTTAGACTTGTGTATGTTGAACCAGCCTTGCATCCCTGGGATGAAGCCTGCTTGACCGTGATGGATAAGCTTTTTAATGTGCTGTTACAATCAGTTTGCCAGTATTTTATTGAAGATTTTTGCATTCATGTTCATCATGGATATTGGCCTGAAATTTTCGTTTTTAGTGGTATCTCTGCGAGGTTTTGGTATCAGGATGATGTTGGTCTCATAAAATGATTTGGGAAGGATTCCCTCTTTCTGGACTATTTGGAATAGTTTCAGAAGCAGTGGTACCAGCGCCTCTTTGTATGTCTGGTAAAATTCAGCTGTGAACCCATCTGGGCCTGGTCTTTTTTTGGTTGGTAGGCTATTAATTGCTGCCTCTACTTCAGCCCTTGTTACTGGTCTATTCAGGGTTTCGACTTCTTCCTGGTTTAGGATTGGGAGGATGCAAGTGTCCAGGAATTGATCCATTTCTTCCAGGTTTATTAGTTTATGTTCATAGAGTTGTTTGTAGTAATCTCTGATGGTAGTTTGTATTTCTGTGGAATCAGTGGTGATATCCCCTTTATCTTTTTTAGTTGTGTCTATTTGATTCTTCTTGTTTCTTTTTTATTAATCTGGGTAGCGGTCTATTTTGTTGATCTTTTCAGAAAACCAGCTCCGGGATTTATTCATTTTTTGAAGGGTTTTTTTCTTTCTCTGTCTCCTTCAGTTCAGTTCTGATCTTAGTCATTTCTAGTTTTTTGCTAGCTTTTGAGTTTTTGGTTTTTTTTTTTTTTATCTTGCTCCTCTAGCTCTTTCAATTTTGACGATAGGGTGTCAATTTTAGATCTTTCCTTGCTTCACATATGGACATTTATTGCTATAAGTTTTCCTCTAGACACTGCTTTAAATGTGTCACAGACATTCCGGTATGTTGTGTCTTTGTTCCCATTGGTTTCGAAGAACATCTTTATTTCTGCCTTCATTTCATTGTTTATCCAGTCTACATTCAAGAGCAAGTTGTTCAGCTTCCATGAAGCTGTGTGGTTCTGAGTTAGTTTCTGCATTCTGAGTTCTAACTTGATTGCACTGTGGTCTGAGAGACTGTTCGTTATGATTTCCATTCTTTTGCATTTGCTGAGGAATGATTTCCAATTATGTTACCAGTTTTTGAGTAGGTGTGATGTGGTACTGAGAAGAATGTATATTCTGTGTATTTGGGATGGAGAGTTCTGTAGATGTCTTATTAGGTTTGCTTGGTCCAGATCTGAGTTCAAGTCCTGGATATCCTTGTTAATTTTCTGTCTTGATCTGTCTAATATTGACAATGGAGTGTTAAAATCTCCCACTATTATTGTGTGGGAGTCTAAGTCTCTTTGTAAGTCATTAAGAACTTGCTTTATATACCTGGGTGCTCCTATATTGGGTGCTTACATATTTAGTATCGTTAGCTCTTGTTGTTGCATTGATCCTTTTACCGTTATGTAATGTCCTTCTTTGTCTCTTTTAATCTTTGTTGGTTTAAAGTCTATTTTATCAGAGACTTGGATTTCAACTCCTGCATTTATTTGCTCTCCAGTTGCTTGGTAAATCTTCCTCCATCCATTTATTTTGAGCCTTTGTGTATCCTTGCATGTGAGATGGGTTTTCCTGGCTAGAACACACAACAATGGTTTTTTACTTTTTATCCAATTTGCCAGTCTGTGTCTTTTG